TAACCGCTCTTTATCTGATCACAATCCCAAACAATACTAAAGTTACGAGGAGTGTTATATCCCACAAGGAAAATATAACGTCATCAAGAATATGTGCGCCCCAAAATATGAAAAAACAAAGCAACGTGCAGCAAAAATGTGCTTTCAAATCTTTCAAGATTACAATACTTTTACAAAAGTTTTTAAATGTGTATTCGATAGTCGATACTCTGCTTATGATTCTCCCCTCGTTTTTACATGACAGGTGGTTTTTTTAGGTGTAATGCTGCCCGTCACCGTCACCGTCACCATCACCATTCTTATTCCACACACACATAAAATATCCAAACAAATGCGCTCTCATTACCATCTTATCCTCCATAAAGTTTACATAGAAGGTCCTTGTCCCCACCTAGACCCCAGCTTCACAAAATCTTATTTAATTCCCAACTATAAATCCAGATTTGTACATGACCAAATCAACCCTCCTCAAAACTTAACCCTGAAATTTAATCCCCTATCAAACAAGCTAACAACACCCAATCACAAACCATGCAACCACAACCTTCCTTTCAAAGTCGAGCCGAGACACAAGAAAAAAAAAAAACACTTCCAAGAGAGAGAAAAGCCACACCCGGGCCGTGATTGACTAGGCATATGGGTCCCACTAAGACCGGACTTCAGAACAGATTTTAAACCGATTAATAAAATAAAATAAAAGTATAGTAGTTAGAAAATAGAAACCCCTGGAGGGCCTGGACCGAATTAAAAAGAAAAAAAAAGAAAGACTTCCGTGATGGCCTATGTTTGTGCACCCACCACGCGCCTGCCTTTCACATCATCACTCTCTCTCTCTTGCCCCACTCTCTCTCTCTCTAACTTGTCTCCTTATATAATCTTGCCATTTGGTTGCCGCTTCTCGCCACAACCACTCCAAGCGTTGTTATACCTCTCTCCTATTGTCTGAAGAAAAGAGCAAACCCTAATTCTAGTGGGCTAGTTCTATCCTTTTGTTTTAAATTGAACTTTGTTTGGTTCCAAATAGTTCCTATGGAAGAGCTGCAAAACAATAAGAAACGAGTCAGGGATGACTCGTTCGAATTGGAGTTGGATTTGCCGGAGGTGAAGAAAATCAAAGAGGATTTATTGGGCATCATCGATGATTCCGACCCTGACGCGCTGGGTCAGGATCTTGACTCCGTCATGAAGAGTTTTGAGCTAGAGATATCCGCGTGTTCATCATCTATGGTTCCCGTCGTCGACCAGACGTCCGAATCCGGCGAGTCCCGGCCGGATCTAGGGTACCTTCTAGAAGCTTCTGATGATGAGCTTGGCTTGCCCCCGTCTATTAATTCCTCGAGCGAGGAAATTAAGGGTGAAGAAGAGACCGAGATGGTCCGAGTTGACTCGGCCGACTCATCCGGAATCGGTGGAGAGATCTGGGGATTTGAGGACCAGATTCCGACTTATGATTCATTCGGGCTGGGAGTAGGGGACGTTGATTATAATAGCAAGTTTGTAGCGTTTGATGATGGGTTGTTCGAGTACTCTAATATTTGCTTCGATTCGTCCGAGTTTGTTGATTTGTCGTGGCGGTCTGGCGGCATGCCGGCCGAGTAATTAAAGGAATGGAGGGTGTCGGTTGTCGTTAAGATGAAACGATTCCATTACGCTATTATTTTTGTAAATTATTTTACTTTATTAATTTTTAGAAAAAAGGAATTAATTTAAAAGGATATACGTGTAGGCGTAGGATATGAATATGAGAGATGCCGTGGCTACAAGTGAGGATATTATTTTTTTTTATCTTAATTGATGCTGGGGGCGATGAATTTTTTGGCAGTCTCTTGGATTGAAGAATCCTGTCCCTATTCCCTGGCAAAGACAGGGAATTTGAACTGCTCTGGCAAAATCTGTTCCTTGTTTCAGAATAAACTTTAATCAAGTTAATTCCCTTGCTGTAAAGGAGTTGATTAATCTGCTGATTTTCGAACTTGTCTTAAGAAAACAATTGAAGTTATTTACCAGGGAAGATAACATCCTGCTTCGTTTGGCGTGGCCTGGCAAACTATTTGAAGTCTTCATATTGCAAAATTGGGGTGGAAGGGGGCAGGGTTCGGCATGGTATCCCCAATGGTTGGTTAGGTACCGTTGGGAACGCATCCTGATATTTTAATTGTTAATATTAAAAATAAATTTTAAAAAATAAAAAAATTAATATGTTTATAAGTAAAAATTATTTTAAAAATAATTATTTCTTCACCTTAATTATTCTTAATGTTTGGAAAAAAGAAAATTATCTAAATTTAATTTTTAAATACAAATGAGATAATAAGTTATCCTGTTAAAAAAAGAACTTTCAAGAGATTTAATTGAAAATATTCCATAATTAATTTATCATCAGAAATTTCAATCACAGGAGGCATGTGACTATACATGATAACAAAAGAACCTTTGTATAACAATGTTATTAAACCTTTGCTGGATGCGTAGATATTAGATTTGAGTGGATGAACTTGGATGCAGGTATACTTTAAACGAAGTCACTTCAATATCTTAAAAAAAGTAATAACTAGATTTGTTTTTTGAATTTTTCAGCGGGTCCACCTAAGCAAATTAAAGAAGTATTTTATTTATTTTTAAATTAAAATAATATTTTATTTATTTTTTAAATTCAAATCAAGTTTTAATTAAATCAATTAAGTTTGAGCCGAATAATTGTGAGGGTTTTTTAACCCAATTTGGATCACGTTCGAGGTGAATAGCAAGGACCAGCATGAATGAGAGAGGGATCCAAAGGTAAATTGACGAGAGAGCAATTGATAGGGGTCGTCTTTCAAGTTTCGTGTTGTCCGGTTTATTTAATCAATTTAATTAGGTATAAGATCCGTTGACGTATAAAATTACTGGCAGAACATGTGTGAACCAGCGTACGCTGCACATTAATTAGTGGCAAAGGGGTGGATTGGTGTATAGTCAGAGAACTTTCTAGGGTTAAAATAAAAGCATGAGATGGGGCCGCGCGCGATGACTTCAGAAAAAGACACACATACAATGGATACAATGGATCGGCACTAGAGACTTGTGGATGCTTCAACAATTGACCAAGACAAAAGCCACGAAGATTCAAAAGCCATCCAATTAATGACATGTTTTTGTAAGCCTCCACTAATGGTCAAGCTTTGAAGCTGATGTTACCCCCCCCCTCTCATTCTCTGTTCCCAGAAGTTAATTTAGGGTTTTATTCAAGCTAGCTAGGTAATAATTCGGACAACACTGCACGAGCACAGAAGAAATACTATTCTAATTAACAATGGTCCTAAAGCTAAACGGCACTATTGGGATTCCTTTTGCCGATTATTCCGGGTTCCCATCATATTCGAAAGCTGAAGACGTGGCTGCAACGTTCTTAACTCTTATCTCTAAACATCCAAGCTCTAATTTTTTGGTATTTTTATATACTTGCCTTGCCGTTTGGGCCATGGCCCAAAAGTCAAGCAATTCTTTCTTTGCTTGCAGTTTGGGCCATGTCCCCAACGGCGGCTCAGGATAGCTTTGCTTGCGAGGTGGAAATTCCTCACAAGTCATGGCCTGAATTTCCAGCCTAACGCCTGGCTGTATGGCCTCGCCCTCGCCACTATCCAAAAAGTCATTGTTTTTCCAAGGTTCTAAAAGTCAAGGTGGGTGCCACACGGACACGGCATCTACTGTGCCTTCAGAAGCACCACCCACTTCGCACGCTTACAGATCTTCAAAGTTCAAACTACCCAACGGTGTTCTCCGCATCCTCCATGCCAGCCACCAACCTTTGCACTCATCAATGACTGCACCAACATCTCAACCAATTGTGCAACTCAACTCCACACACCATTGGATATCTACAACTTTCTTATACTGTAAGGTATTTATAATACTATTTTTCATGCTCCACGAGATATATTGCCCATGCAACTCTTTCTACGTATGTTTCTAGTTTCTACTGCTCCTCGCATTATTTCTTTCTTTATATTATTTTCTCCTATTATATTTATCAATATAACCATCAAAAGATCCTTTGTTTCAATAAAAGAATTTTTTTAAAAAATAATTGAGATAAAAGATAGAAACTTACAAGGTGAAAGTACAACTTAGAAGTGTATTTAAAATTGCGGTAATTTTTATAAGTTTGAAAAAAATTATTTTATAAAAAATATTTTTAGTTGAGATTGATTTTAATTTTTATATATATTTAGTTAAAATTGTAATTGAAATTAAAATTGAATAAAAAATAATTTAAAGTATTTAGATAAAAATGCTTTCAAATTGAGGTTATAAAATATTAATAGTTTTTAATTTAAATATTATAAATTTAACTACTATTATTACATTATAAAATAAATAATATTTTATATAAAATAATTTTTATTATTCCATTAAATTATCTGAAATTTTATTATATATAAAATTTATCCAACAAAAAATACAATTTTCTTGTTTTTTTACTGCATCAACCCCTATTAGATTTTGAAAGCAAGAAAATAAAAATACATTCACCACTACTAGTAAAATTCTCCATCTTCTTCCCGAAAAACAAACTGATTAAAGTGAAAAAAAAAAATACAAGAAGAAAGAACTAGCCAGCGCCATTCATTACCCAAAATTAACACCCATCAATGTACATCTTCAATCCACAATCAATTTACACCATCTTGTCTCATTTCTTCAAAATCAACAACCCACACCGATTTAATCCTTGAATTCAAATCCCAAAAACTTTCAAGACTTCCCAATGCATGTGTCCATGATTTGTTGGCATTCCTGGTGTGTAATCAATATTGCTGTGATAAAAGTATTTTTTATTTAAAAATATATTAAAATATTTTCTATTTTTCATATTAGTATATCAAAATCATTAAAAAATACCAAAAAACATTATGATATATTTTTTTTCAAGCCAAACACCCTCAAATTGAGTTTTAAACGTAAAAACAAACTGTGCTACAAAAGACTTATCTCTTCTATTTTTACTATTTTTTATTTTAAAATAGTAACCAAATGGTGTAAAAAATAAAAATTATTATTTAAATATTATTTGCAATCCATTTTTTTTCTTTTCTTAATATTAAGAAGACAAGTTCTAAATTTTATGGCTTTGAATATGAAGCCCACTCTTGGCTATGTCAAAAAACCGTTAGCTGGATTAACTTTTAATCTGTTTTTTAGATAGTATTTGCGTATTGTATCACAATAATAACAAGAAAAACCGATGAGAGCTGGGATAAGGAGGATGAGATGAAATAGAAAAAAAATATAGTTATTTGATAATAGTATACAATACAAAGTGAATATCTTTATATATATTTTTTTAATGATGACATAATAAAATAAATGACAGAAAAATATGTTTTACTCTTGATATTTATTGCCATTAAACTTATGAAAAAAAATGTATAACGAGCATCAGATCTTTTTTTTTTAACTAACATGAAATAGTAATTTCTTCGCTCTTCAAAAATCAAAATCATGTTTGTCATACTTTTTTTTTTAACTAACATGAAATAGTAATTTCTTCGCTCTTCAAAAATCAAAATCATGTTTGTCATACTTTTTTTTTTAACTAACATGAAATAGTAATTTCTTCGCTCTTCAAAAATCAAAATCATGTTTGTCATACTTTTTTTTTTAACTAACATGAAATAGTAATTTCTTCGCTCTTCAAAAATCAAAATCATGTTTGTCATACTTTTTTTTTTAACTAACATGAAATAGTAATTTCTTCGCTCTTCAAAAATCAAAATCATGTTTGTCATACTTTTTTTTTTAACTAACATGAAATAGTAATTTCTTCGCTCTTCAAAAATCAAAATCATGTTTGTCATACTTTTTTTTTTAACTAACATGAAATAGTAATTTCTTCGCTCTTCAAAAATCAAAATCATGTTTGTCATACTTTTTTTTTTAACTAACATGAAATAGTAATTTCTTCGCTCTTCAAAAATCAAAATCATGTTTGTCATACTTTTTTTTTTAACTAACATGAAATAGTAATTTCTTCGCTCTTCAAAAATCAAAATCATGTTTGTCATACTTTTTTTTTTAACTAACATGAAATAGTAATTTCTTCGCTCTTCAAAAATCAAAATCATGTTTGTCATACTTTTTTTTTTAACTAACATGAAATAGTAATTTCTTCGCTCTTCAAAAATCAAAATCATGTTTGTCATACTTTTTTTTTTAACTAACATGAAATAGTAATTTCTTCGCTCTTCAAAAATCAAAATCATGTTTGTCATACTTTTTTTTTTAACTAACATGAAATAGTAATTTCTTCGCTCTTCAAAAATCAAAATCATGTTTGTCATACTTTTTTTTTTAACTAACATGAAATAGTAATTTCTTCGCTCTTCAAAAATCAAAATCATGTTAAAAAAGAAATTGTAATCACAATAAATAAAGTATCACAATTCTTTTTTAGATAAATTAATATTAAAATAAATATCTAAACCAATCAATATTACATAACATCAGCACAATTAAAATATAATATAGTCGAAAATGCAAAATAATAATTTCTTCACAAATACATTTTTTTGTTTGCTATCAATAATAATGTTCACTTTCTTTCATAATATTTAAATGCTCGCTCATTCAGAGAAAAAAAAAAAGCCCCTCGTGTGCTTTTCATTTCAATAAAAAATCACTCTGATTAATTAATTTTATTCATGTGGTTAAATGATTAATTTACTCTAATTCATTTATTTCTTAATTGTTATAAATAATTAAGATTCTATGAAATAATTTATTGTTTATTTTGAGCAATTGATTTTTCCATATTGCTCTGATGAAATGAAAGAAACCAAACCTTTAATACAATTAAAAAGTATTTTTATAAATTTAAAATTGATGTGTGCGTGGTAAAATACATCTAAAAATTAGTAAAATAAAAAAACTAAAATTGTTATATGATTAAAGGAACACGTGTGAAAAAAAATTAACCTA